TATTATTTATTTATTATTAGCAGGAGACGTCCTCACCAATATATTAATCTGTATTGTTATTATTATTATCATTATTATTATTGTAACGAACAATACAGAGTTGTTTAATTACAATTCACCTACTATATTATTACTCCCTTTATTTACTAATATTGTAAGTGGTAACAACCATTGTACGGTGCGAGTTGTCGGGTCAACTGTCCATAAGAGCTCGACAGCGTAAACAAAAAGTGAAAAAAAATAATATCTACGTTACCCAGTAGAGCGTTGTACGATTTTGAACTTATAAAAATCGCTCGTTTAATGAAAATACCTCATGTCATCGGCGTGTTTACCAGAGATAGGTTATCTACACTTCCTAAACGACAAGAATCAGCGATTATTAACTTGGATGCGGAAAACGGTACAGGAACCAATTGGGTAGCGTATAAAAAAATCGGAAAAAAAGTCGAATATTACGACAGTATTAGGAATTTGCCTCCACCATTAGAAGTACAAAAATATTTTCACGGATGTGACGTACATTTCAATTACAGCAGAGAGCAGAAATATAATACTATAAACTGTGGACACTTGTACTTAAAGTTTTTATCATGCTCACATTAACGTCAAACGGAAACTCTAGTGAGTTGTCATGCGAGATCTCTCCACCGTTGGAAGTAGAAAATACAGATATGTCTTTGAGTTTACAAACAAATAATTCTATACCAAACATAGAACCTAGTTGCAATACTATTATCTTCCGTAATTTGATCAATACAAATGAGTACGTAATTATACCTACGGGAACATATGAGTTGGATCAGTTAGAGTCTATTATACAAAAAATGATGCCCGACTATGTCAGTATGTTTGAATGAAAAACAAACAGCAGAACATTAAAGTGTATGATATCGTGCAGCTATGATGTTGATTTAGGAATCGAGAATAACATAGCGAAATTATTGGGTTTTAGAAATGTCTTATACACTACTGGTGCTACTCACGAATCTGAAAATATTGTCAACATAATGAAAACAAACTGCATAAAAGTAGAGTGTAATTTAATCACGGGCTTATTCTGTGATAGAGCACCGATGAGCCAGATCATACGCGAGCTTTATCCTACTGTACCTGTGGGATATAAAATCGTTGAGGTACCTAGGCATCCAGTTTTTTATGGTCTCAACACGACTTCAATAACTAAAATAAATATCGTGCTAAAAGATCAGAACGATTGTTATGTCGACGATTGTAAAATAGCACAAAAGAATTATCATTCGTTCACCCCGTATTGGCGTATTCAAGCACCGCTCTATCATACAATTCTACAACTTTCAAAAATCGTATTACGAAAGAGCTTATTGTGAACCATTGTTATCAAAACATATTTTTCAAAACTGTGTGCCAATCGTCGTTGTTGATTTGACGTACCAGAATGATAACGTGAAATCATCGACCGTGGACCTACGAATAGACTTTGAAACGGACACAGTTATTCCAGAAAATACATCGGCTTATTGTTTAATACTACATGACCAGATTATAACTTATAATCCGTTTAGTGGTGATGTTAGAAAATTGTAAAATATTTTATATACCTTTAAAGTATATTATAACTATTTTTATACCTTGTAAATATTTTTATATTTTAACCTTATGATAAATAATTTAAAAAAAATTGATTTTAAATATTACGCGTGTTTTTATTTCACACAAAATTATTAAACAATATTAATCAAAGAGTTTGCGTTTTGGGTTCGGCTTTAATTTTTTCGTGGGCTTGCCGCTTGTGAAGTCAAGAATAGATGGCGAGTGGTTGAAAGACATCATGCCGTCGGTCTCGTCAACTGCGGGGCTTGCTGGTGAAGGTTCTATATATCGATATGATTTAATGCGTCCGCACGGGTCTTGTGCAAAATTGTCTGAATCAAACGATGCGGGAAGAGTGTCCATGACCGTCGTTGATAGACTGCCAGGGTCATCAATAGGCTTAACAAAGAATATTTTGTTAATATAAATTAATTTTAAAAATTAAATGTGCGTATTACCAATGATTTTGTTTTCCGAATTGGCACCCATGTCGCCTGTGTAAGGTTGATTTGCGTTAAGAATTCATCGATACCACGATCCTCGTCAGCTACCTAAATAATTATTAAAATTATTAATTGTATCATTTTTTAAATTTTATATTACCCCTGCTGGTGAAAGGTTTTCGTCCATTGGAGACATGCTTGAATATCTCGGGGGTGAAATGAGATAAACCTCGGATTCAGTGAACGACTATAAAATAATTAAATACATTAAATATTTTGTTTTACAAGCGATATAAATGATAGGTTAACTAACCTCGGGTGACATTTCCCCGCTCTATCGTTGTGCATATTATTCAGCTAATTGAGTAGTTGCAAGTATTTTGAGCTAACTGATGAAATTCATGTCTCCTTTAGGAGTGGATCCAATAATTTTATCATCACTTAAATTTTTGATAAAAACTATCATTTCTTCCGGTGTTTTTGGTGGTGAATAAACTTTGATGAATTCCTGGTCCAAATAATTACCCAAAATCTTAAACTGTTTTAAGACGAGTGCTCGTATGATGATTGACTTTCGAACGACTGTTTCGACAATACACCATTCTAAATATTGCGATTTTTTTTAAATCTATCCTATTTAGCAATACTCGACATCCGGCTTGTGTTTTTGATTCGATGACAAGCATATTTTCCCCTTGACACAGCATATTAAACAGCGAAATAATATCGGTTTCCAGAAATAAATTTCGCTTATATTTTTGCGGTTGACCCTACATAAACGACAATACATTCAACATCAGTGAAAATATACGTCTTAGAAATTCGGCTGTCATATTAATATACTGCGATGATGTGATTATTACTACAGTGTTGAATTTGTCCGTAGGACACATTCAAAAATGTACGGCCGGTGAAGTCAAGTATAAAATTACTGCAGTCGATGGGATCCGCGGGCGGTGCTGGATGCACATAAATGAACGTCTTCTTTTTGTATAGGGGCATAGGGCAGCGTTGTTGGTGATAGAATCAGAAATGTTAAAACTATTTCTAAACACTTTTAAATCACTGAAATATCAACGTCTTGCCACTAGAATGGATGTTTAGCTACTAACGATTTTGATCCGCAGTATAAAGTGAATACCATTGCTAGCGCTAGTGTCAGTGGCTATTAAGAGTCCGGCAGCACCTTAGAGTTCTAAATATTCAGGTGCAAGCTATTAGCATTTATATATAGTGGCTATTTAGAAATTCGCCGTGTGTAGTATACGTCTGGCAAAAAGTACTAATATCGATTATTATAATATCGTTAAGTATATCACATCCTGGCGACACAAGCGATTATTAAGCTATTAGATAGGTCGCGTCAATCTAACCTAGCCTCTTAATGTTTAACTGGCTTAATTGTTTAATCTCAATACAGAGCCAAAATATTCATACCTAATGGCAGGAAATGTATTTTATCGTCTTTCAATATAAATGGTTTTTGCAAAGCAGTGTGTGTGTGTAGTATACGTCTGGCAAAATGTACTAATATCGGTTGTATCGGTTTTTACCTGATGTTTCAACTGATGAAGATTTATAAATAATTATGCTAATGTACATAAACTAATAATTATACTTATGTACAATGAACATAAATTAATCAATACACTTGTATACATAGATTAGTAAGTAATTATCAATAGTTTTTTATTATATATTATGAATTTTCATTTACAAATACGTGTTAAATACTAGATTCAATACAAGCCTCTAACAGCATTTTTTCATCATCTCCAAAGTCTTCACCCCAGACAATTTTTTAAAGTGCTTCAAGACATATCATCGCCAGCCCATATGTCTATAATATAATTTTCTTTAGATATGGTACATTTATTTTTTATACTAATTGCATAAGAACAATAATAATAAAATTAACCTAACCATTTATTCGCTCGTGTTCATTGTCACAATCCTCAAAAATACATGCTTGAAATCGACGACGTTAAGGTAAGTGTCACAATATCATACAATATTTTGTCATATTAATTTCGTCAACAGAATTATTTGCTTTTTGGCTTAATAATGAGCTGAAAAATACTCGTCTCGGGGTAGTTGATAACTATAATATATACATATATAAACTGCGTTATATTTTAATTATAATATATATATGTTATTACACTTACCATATCATCAAACTCGAAATTTGATGAACAATCAATGAAGCCGGTTGAAATGTCAGGTGTGTGTAGGCTAAATGCTTGGCTATTGTTGTTCGACATTTTTTTTTTCTTCAAATTACCACTGTCAGTTTTGAAACTTTTGTTGTTATGTACAATTAATTCATAGTTGAAACGCTATATTAACAGTAAAATTGACGTGCTGTTCAAAATAAAGAGAGAATTATGGGATTAATAAGTTATCATAATAACAAATAGTCATTATTTATTTTTATTGAATGTGTATTTATTTACACAACTGCGATCTCTAGTCAAATGTACATTACTCAAATACCAAAAATTTACCTATATAACTAATGACGATGTTAATAATGCATGTATATAATGCATGTACTTGAATAACTATTAAATGTATTTCATTTCAAAATATTATTGTAGAATAAAATGAAAACTCTACTAGTGTTTAATATTTTGATTGCTTTATTATATATATGCTCTTTGGTCAGCCTACTTACGGCAGCTGGTAAATACAAATTAACCAAATTTATATTATTAATTAGATATATAATGAATACAGTAATCCCTCGTTATCCGCGGTGGTTACGTTCCAGCAAAGTTGCGTGGATATCGAAACAGTGGATAACGAGACCATAAACATACAATTTCTAATTTTTATTATTTTGAACATCTTTTGTATTTAATTATAAATATCATAAAAAGGTTAACATGTTTTACAATATTTGAATATTTATTTTCTTAAAGTAATTTATTAATTATTTATATATATATAATATATTAGGCCCCACCGTGGATGATGAGGGATTACTGTAATAAGAATGATAAGAACCTACATATATTCGTTATTTTTGATAAACGAAATTTCAAATTCCAAAAAATAAATTTGTTTACGTGTCAGTTTATAAGAAGAAATAATGTGCTATTATTTATTATACTTATATATTATTATGTTTATAGTCATATTATATTCCGTCTGTAGCTTAGAAATGATATAGTTGGCTTTTTCTGAGGATAGCTGGTGAAGTATTGAGAGTGGTTATGTGGTTTACCAGCCGCTTTTCGTGTCGTAGACTATAATTCAAATTCCACTCAAAATGCAATAATATAGTATCGAATTTTCCGGAAAAATATTTCTTCAAATTCAATGAAAAGTAATATGAAAACGAAAAAGTATAATAAATAACTGAATTAGCAATTACAACGTTACAATGAATAATAAATATTGAGTTAAATATTAGGTACATTTTGCTAGTCGATGCGTTATTGAATTACATGTAGTATCGCCAATATGAGTCATATAACATAATAGTTTCTCTTAGTATTTTAGATTCTGAGTGGAGGTGTAAATATATTGATTTTATACTGATGTGAGTTTTTTTGTGTTTGAAAAATTTTTTCGTTAAACGAAATATTCACTGAATGTGTATATTACCAATTTCTATGCAAAATGACATTTTAAAGTATTGGGACTCTTTTGACATTTTATACAGGTAGTACACGAGTCTGCAATGTTTTTTAAAAATATTTAGAGTTATTAGAAAATTTCGAATTCTATTTGTTTTATTTTAATTTTAGTCGATAAAATTTTATTTTTTGGATCAAAAAGCTTGTAAATTTATTACATTTAATTTCTAATATATTTTTACAAAATCAGTTTAAAAATTTAAAAAAATAAATAGTCACGATTTTTTTAACGAGCATTCGAATTTTGATAAAAAAAAAAAACGAAAATTAGAAAATCCTTTTGAGTTCGAAATTCATAATACTTTTTCTTTTTAAATCTAAGATTTTAAAATTGAAAATAAGATTTCTCATAGGTGCGTCTATCTTTATCAAAACACAAATGTCTACCTTAATGTCTAAATAAAATTTGTATGATCTTTTGAAATTGAACCTTGACGATTTTTTTTTTTAAATATTTGACCCGTTTTAAGCTCATTATGGACATTTTCAATTGTATATTATTTCAGTTTTTTTTCTCTATAAATGTCAACAATATTGTGTTCGTTGGATCAAAACAAATGAAAAGTAATATATAGTTTCTGATTTATTATTTCAATAGAAGTTTAAAAAGATTAAAAATGCATAGGCACAGTTTTTTTTTTATTATAAATTAATGGCTGGTAGTTGACCAACTGGTGATTTCTTTTTCAAATATTTACGACTCTCGAAATGTCACCGGATCTTGTACTTGTGCCGTATATAGTAGTATACACAATGCGCACTGTTGTCCCGGCTGTAAGTTGGTTTACCCGACACTTGTTTCTGGTGTATGCCAATGCCATGTTGCACTATGAACGACTGTCACATACGTGATAGTTGTTATCTCCAATAAGACCCGTTTAGTAGTGATTAGTGATTGACAATGTTTTCTTTAGATACAACTATTAAGTAAAAAAACGTATTTTTTTTTGTTATTTTAGGAATTGGCGAAACATCATGCCGGTATTTAGGTGAAATGGAAAAAAATGGTAAAAAATGTCACGAAGACGTGGTGAAAGTACATGAACTTCCACCAAAATGCACATCTTTTGTGTATGATGGAGTTATATGTACACCAAGTTATAGAATCGAGGCTAAAGACGCCATGTACGGATTAGGTAAAAAAACAATTATAAATATAGAATCTATATTATAGAAAATACCTACCTAGTTCTATTTAGCTGAGTTGTAGCAGTGTTAGGAATTATCTATTATTACTTATTAGTAATAAATATTCTGTATTCGGTTATGAATAAATATAAAATATACTAATTAAATTATGTAGTAAGTATCATAATATATTACTGTTGTTTGTCACGACCGGTGTTATATCCCAGAATTGTATAAATATTTTTAAATTATAATTTAAATGCGTATAATAGATACAGACGACAAGTAATCAGACAAAATTCCATTGAATATAATATCATTATATTTTTATATCATTATTATATTTATTGAGAAATAAAGATAAACCGGCCGTTTATTCTTTCTGTATTCGCTCTACATAATTTGTCTCACCAAAAAAATACTACCAAAACCACCACTGCCTAGTTGTAAAGTTAGATATTGATTTATGTGTTAGTCGGTATTGACGCATAAAATTAACAAAAATGACAGTAAATCAGAGTAATTTTGGGGAATAATTATTCAATTATGTTATTCAATGAGTCTAAATGTTTTGAAAATGGCATTAGCACCAATATAAATTTCAATATTTTACGAAGAAGTTTATAATCATCATTAGTTTCTAGCAAAATTTAGCCTAAATTATGATCTACGGTAGTTAAACATTATTTATGATTTTTTTTACAGAACGCTTACAAACACTTCTAGATTTTGATAAGCCGGCTAAAAATGTGTACTTATTTTATTCACACGGAGGGTTACATGATTGGTATGATGTACTTTCGAGAGGAAATTTTAAACTTGTAGCTCAAAATGTGCAAAATTTTGTTCGGCGTTATCCTGTCAAAGGGTTGATTCTGAATGAAATTGATTTTCCTTATTCAAATGTAAGTACAGTGTCTAAATTGCGAATAGTTTTAAGTTATGTATAAAGTAGATATATTTTAATTAAATAGAATCATAGGTATGCTTCCGTACTATTCATATTGAGTTTGATCAGTTTCACTTCTCGATGCTGCCTTCCATCTTATTCCTTCTGTGTTCGTTCATTATCGGAAAACTACGGAACAGCTAGCCAATCCACCTCCGGGTTTAGCATAATGTGCCATATTTTCTTTGTCCAACTAATTAAGCTGCGCTGCAAGTGTCGCTAATAAACTGTCGGATCAAAAGTACTTGAAATGTATTTCATGTGTTTATCCAACCAATTGATCGGGAGACTCTACATGATTTTCAAAATATAAGTCAGCTGACACAGGGGTCTCCATGAAGAGGAAATCTTTTCAGGCATCTGGCCAATGGCTTGCTCACGGGGGGGGGGGGGATTTCTTAGTAATGATTTACTTACAACATGAAAAATAATTTAAGTTTAAAATTCAAGATTTTGGTAATAAATTAGATCACGTTCCTCTATTCTTATAAATTCGATATTCATTTATTATTTATTGTCCCTCAACATAACTCGTAAGACGGCACGTATCAATTTCAGTACTACTGATTACATATTTATATTTCATTTGCTTATTACCGTCTTATGACTTATACTAAATTAAATATAGAAGTTTTCAATTTAAATATTATTTATAAATTATAAGCAAATATATGAATAGGTTCTCCAATGATATACATGTTTATACCATGATATATTATAGTCATAGACTCGAATGCATGTATATTTATAAAAATAATAACAAAGCAGAGCGACGGTGGCTGATTTCGACCTCCAGTCGACCGGGCAGTAGTTCGTTCCGGCACGATAAATTGAACTCGTCCTAATTTGTTTTCGATCTTCGTTTGCGTAATTGCGTTTATTGACTAATTATAATTGTCGTTCTTCGTTTACTTTTACTAGTAACATATCTTTTGTACTTGTACACTCATTGTTTCATAATGTAAAAGTAAGTAAAATTATTTTTCTTAAATTTGAATATAACTATGAAAAAATGTAATATATTTATTTGATTTGATTAGTTATGTCAACCAAAAGAAAAATGACCGATTATTTTACCAAACAAAGTAAAACAATTTATGTTAAATTGTTTTTATTGATTTTTCCATTTGAGAGCTCAAATTAAAAAGATTGAAGTTTAAAGTTGAAGATTAATATGTTTTCTCTAAGTTGTTCAGAGGGATAATGTAAATTAAAATATAAATTCCGTAGAAGGAATGTGGGCAGGGGGGTGAAGCCCCACGTGTCGGTGACAAGTCAAAAATGAATATCCCCCCCTTTTCAAAAAAGCTGAGCATGCCACTGTTCTGGTCTATTCGGAGGAGTACTATAAGTACTAACTGATCACGCTCCAAATACTTTGAGAATTTCTCTGAACTGCTATATGAATTAAATATTCTTGGCAGATGTTGAAATCATACTCATTTTATCTCTTATAAAATTGTTTGTATTAGTTATTTTTAATTAGTTTTTGTCTATAGCTAAGTATATGTTATACATTGGACCAGCAATGAATAGGCAATTCACACTTGGATCTGTTCTAAAGAGTTATTGTGCTGACGTCCTCTAGGACGTCAAACATTATATACTAGCTGGGGTTGTACAGGGTCTGCTCCAGAGCCATCTGTCGATCAGATATAGTTAACATTTATGTTCATTCTATCTGTGTAAATTTATATAGTTCATTATTAGAAATCCGTTAGGGCGGGCCACTATTAGCTTATTTTTTCTTATAAAATAATGAGTTTCAGTTTTATTTCTGTAAATTCTTATGTATATAGAATATTAATCCCTTTGAGCAAGTCACTAGTAACACCCTTGCATCTTTACTTTCTGCGGACAAGATGTATATTTTCTTATTTTCATATTACTGACCTTCCCCTGATTCAGCTAAATATCTATAATGAATTTCAAGCGAATCAGACGAGTAGTTTTAAAGATTACGAGTGCGGGCAAAAGGGACATTCATTTTTATTATATAGATAGATACATAGATTATAATTTTAAACATACCTTTAAATTGTTATATAATAATTTATTCATCTTTAGGAGTTTGATGGTGACTTCCACCAGAATTTTACCGACTACGTGAACACTATCAGAGCTTTTAACTCAAATTTGGAAATTGGGTTGTATTTGAGTGCAAGAACTTTCTTTGCAAATAAACCTTATGTGTTCCATAATGAAACAAGCATCATAGTTAATAATGTCACATATACAGAGGCAATCGGGGTTTACTATTACAATTGTAAGCGGATAAATTAAAATCAAATTAGTAGAAATACAATTGCTTATACTTACAATTGGAAAAAATAATTTAAATTAAAATTGTGGTTTTTAAGATATAACAGATATGTATATTATACAACTCACCAAATATTCAAATATAAATGTATTATAATTTGTTATGTTTTGTATACTAGGGTTTTATTTCCCAACGATGAATCGAATTATGGATTTCTACATAATTGAATTTTATACTTTTAATGAATGTACTCCTGATTTATTACGTACTGGAATTACACCTTTGAAGTCATCGGACCCGTTTACTAATTCATTAGTAAGATTTGTACCAAATACATAACTACAAAATTAAATTAAACATTTTATGGTTTTTTTCAGAACAATTTTACAGCAGTTTTAAAGGATTTTGACATTGATAAGGAAAAATTATATTTTGAATTCTTAATAAGTCCTAAACCGTTATATTATGCAGTTGACAATTTCACGAATTGTGAAATATCATATAACGAGGTATAAACATTTTAATTCAAAGTGTCCATCAGTTGTTAAATAAGTATGCAGGGCATATAGATTTTTATCAGTACCTAAGTCCTATGCCGATTTAAAGGACTGGAGACATAATATAATATTAGTGCATCTGGTTTCCAAAATACATTGAGTGAATATTTGGTACACTGACTGGCCAATGCCCATTAGTGACATCTCGTAGATATACGGGTTTCAGGTTTGGCGTGGAGTGTCATTTGATGAGATCAAATTAAAGGTCACCAACCCAGTGCTGAGGAAAGAAATAGGAGCTCCCTTTATTTCATTTTCTTCTGTAAGATTAATAATAGTACAACACACAAAGATGTATTGTACAGGAAAAGATAGCTCAGGGGCGTAAAACTCGGCCAAAAGAATAAGAATAAACAAAAAAATACGTTGTCATAACGACCGTTATTCCGACGACGAAAAATCATCTTGCACCAGGAACATTAAAACATCACGGATCATCTTTACATTCATCGATACACACAATAATTATGGTCATCGGGACTTTGTCGGTCACCGAGCCATTGTAGTGATAATAGTAATAATAATTCATGTATATACGTATATAAGTATACAATAACAAAAACAACCGAAAAGGTTGATCTAATAAATCATCACATTAAAATGATTAAATACGTTACCGCACATTCAGGTGTGAACGTTTCAAATGTCACCAGAGGCCGCGACGGGGGTCCTACGTTTTTACTCCCTCACCGTGGTAGCATCAAAACAGACTAATTAACATAAATATTATAACTTATGATTATAATTATAATTCATAAGAAATGAGTTGGCCGATATTTTATTGTCACATCAAGGCGCCAAGCGTTTTTCCCGGACCAAACGGGTGGTTAGGACTTAGGAGCGGGTGTGTATACATTGTACAAACAGGAGTTATCGTACTTTTACTGCCGAGTATCGCCATAATTTATGACAAACTCGTTGTGTTGGAGCAGCCCTAAGTTTCATAATTTACATTCTTTTGTGTATACAGTGAAATTAAGTGTATAGTTGTACGCGTAACCCCATTGGTCAGTGGTAAGGATTTTTGGGTACCTAAATACCGACGAATAATGCACTATGCTATAAATATTTGTATGACGTGTGTACAGAATTATTCATTATATCGTAGTCACTTCTCAAAATCGATCTTTTCGTGATAAAATTCCAATTTCATCATTTCAAGGAGTGGAAACTGCTTTTTTATAGTTTGTGATATTCGAAAATATTCCACAAAATTGTTACGTGAAAATTCGTTCACTTTGTATGTACTGAAATATATTGTTATATAATAACTGTAATATAATACAATTACCCATCGACATTGATAATATCCATTATTATTTATTATTATTTAAATCGATTAACCAAGTCCGCTGTCAGAATATAGTTCATATTAGTATATCGTTATTCGTTGTAATAAGATCAAAAATATAGGTACCCATCCATTGACCATTGAACATTCAATATTAAATTTGGTGTCCTGTCTTGACATCTCCTCTCACACAACTCCAATTTTGACCAGATATTTACATCCTGGTATCCGACGATTGAAGTCACCGCACTCCTCGTCAACCATAATTAACTATCATTATTCATAAAATCGTTTTACCTTCTGGGGAGTAAACACAATTTCCCCAGTACCAGATTTAAAAATATCTGATCAGAAATTTAAGTACGTATAAAATATACCTAATTTACTTTCGTAGTTTGTGATTGAGTGAATTTTTTGGATGAAATTGACTTTTACCGATTTATGTAATTATTTTTTGGATAGTTTGACTATTAATCATTATATTTAAAGTACATATTATTTAAATACTTTGTATAAATGTTTACAGTATTGTGAAAACGAAAATAACAAAAAAAGTAAATTTTGTGCCGATGACTCAGAAGCATTGTACCAAAAAGTAATACTTTGTAATGTATAATATTATGAAAATTAATTTAATTTTTTTGTTTAATTTTTAGGGTAAATTTACAAAAGCCAATGCAAAGGGATTCATAGGCATGTATATAGATTTAGTCGATCGTGATGATAAATGTCATTGTGGAAAGTACATGGCGTTTGATATGATGGTAAAAAGATATAATGGTGAAACGGATCCGAAGGATTGTGAACCATTAAGAGGCTCTTGAATACTTGAGTTAATAGTTATTGTCTTATACTGTAATTAGGTACAGTTAATTAATTATGGTGTCTTCTACTAGTTACTTGATTCTCATAGAACGATTTTTTTATTTTGTTGTAATCCAAAAATTATTAAAACAATGTGTATACTTGAAATTGTTTAAGAAATAAACAATCTGTGTACTATACCTAGAGAATAATAAGAAATAAAAATATATGATAACAGAAGAAAACATGAATTATGATAAAAACGTCAGGGAACTAAAACATCTAAAAGAATTGGGATTTTAGTACAGTTTTTCTGTATAAACATTTTAGTTCAAATTCAGACAAAATGAAATAAGTATTTAAACGAAGAATGACGATTTTATATTTATTTTGTTACAACTTAAAATATTATTTATGTACACTTGAAATTTATAATTTAAAAATTTAAAAGTGTTCTATTATATTTTATACACACAAAGACATTTTCAAATGCAAATTTTTTGTCAATACTTAATAAAACCTACAGTTATAACTTACTGCATCACAATAGAATAAATTACTTTATTTACGATAATATAACTAAAGATAATAATATTCTTAGTAATGGCATAGATTGACCGCCTTACAATCGTTTTTAGTATATATTGTTTTTATATAATCGAATTCAAATTTAGCTAATCCGCTACATCGTTTAAAAATCGATTTAAAGAATATAACCTCTTTATTTAAAGAAAAGTGTACTTTACTCTTTAGCAATAATCAACGCAGAGCCTAAGCTATTTAAGTTATCGAATTGAAATGTTGAGGATAGATTAATATTATTTAATTTCAAGTTGAACTAAGAGAGGATTTTTCAAAATTTTGATTTTAAGAGATTCATATCGGCAAAAAAATTTTTTCACATATAAATTGTTTGTCTAAATACATATTTTACAGCATGGTTGATCGCGGCAAGTTCCCGAAGTGACATGCAACTATAACTTATTGTCTGTCTAAGTCAGGGACTGGAACCTTGATGATTTTTACGGTTCCGATTCCGGTTCGGTTCCTAGAAAATCTAAGATTTCGGTTTCGGTTCCTATTCAGTTTTCAAATTTAGATTTCGGTTCTTTTCGGTTCTTATAAAATTAAAATTCGTTTTCTGTTTAAATTCAAAATTTGATTTAATTTCGATTCTTTAAAAAATATAAGTATTTTCAAATTTTCAAGTAAATGCCCAACATTGTTGACGAAAGTATACGACCCATTATGATGTAGAATACAAAGTTCAAAATATCGAAGCTATGTAGCAAAGAAAGATAGAAAGAAACGCATTTAGGCGTGCTGTAGGTACGCGTTAGATAACAATACTATAATAATACTATATAAACGTTGTAGACATCATAACATTCGTAGTTATTTGTAAAGATATTTTATGAATTTCTTATTATTGTGGTAACTGGAAGACCTTTAAGTGTATATTGTGCAGTAAATAACGACTTTTATTTTTGCTGGAAATTCCTATTAATACATTATCAGTTATTACGTAGAATAATTAATACTTTAGTCTTAGTGGCACGTCTCAGACGCTCGAACTCTGTACTCTATAGGTAATTGAACGATAATTTTTGAATATTATAAATCCTCATAATAAAGATTATAATAATGACAAATAAAAATAAAAATAATATAATTATTACAAAACCGAAATTATTCGTAAGAAACTTTTACAAATGAATATCGGTTCCGGTAAAGTTTCGGTTTTTAAATTAATTTAAATAAGGGTTCCGGTGGGGTTCCGGTTTTCAAATTAATTTAAATTAGGGTTTCGGTGAGGTTCCGGTTCAAAAACCGGTTCTTTTCGGTACGATTCCAGTCCCTGGTCTAAGTATGTGTTTGATAGGTTTGTAGATATATAAATTGCACCGAGAAATAAAATTCTGCAGTATATCTAAATCCATATAATGTATAAATAAATTCCTATTTCCCTATTTTTATAATAGCTATCTATCTCCAACACAATCTTTGCTGAAAGTAGACAGATAATCGAAAATGTTACTTTCAATAATAATGTATGTATTTATGTCTTTTTCGATCAAATAAAAAATAAATAAATTTCTTTTCGTCAAAGCATCACGCTTATTACTTATCGTGGTTTAAAACAGATCTATCTATGACATGAAATAGTTAATTTTTAATTGTTTAGTGTACATTTCACAGCCGATTCAATCGGAAAATTAATGAACGATTTTAGAATGAGTTTTTTGATACGTGTTTGTTGATCATGGTTTGTTTAAGCAATCACTCTTAATATTTTAAACAAATTTAAGTCGCAGAACTCACTCATGCTACAGGTCAAAATTATACAAGAGAAAGTCAAACACATAACTTTAGACGAAAAGGTCAGGTTTCAGGTAGCTGGAAACCCGAGGACCGCCATGCCATACAGTATATGTGTATACAGGTACAATTATGCACGTTAGGTTATTTCCGAGCAACTTTTTTAATTTTTGAGAAGATCTTAGCATTTTTTTTTTTTTTTGCTATTGGTTAACCGGGTTGATTAGGTTTAAGAAGCATGCATAAAATGGGAACTTAGTACATTGTATACCAAGCAGGTGGCTAAGTTACACTTACAGCCGCTCATCGAAATGTACACAACAAAATTATTAACAAAATACAAATTCAACATACTATTCATGTAGAGCAAATAAAATGTTTATATACCTGGGTATAACCTGCCCTCAATTCATTTTCTAAAGATATGCTTAAGATAATTTATGATTTTTGATTTTGAGTCACCTATTTTCGTATGGTTTGAATATTATTGTATTATTTAATACACTAATTCTTTGTATAGTAAACTTTTGAGGCAATAAACTTGTCGAGATACTTATGTATTTTCTGTTCAATTTTCAAATAACATTTTTAAAAAAACAATTGAATATTTGTTTCCTTATTCGGCAGTATTTCAACTTACAGCTTGATGTTTATACCAAAGTACATATGTACTTAACGGTGTTGTACAATATAACAATATATTCATATCTAATTATTATAATATACATACATCGTAGATGGGTGTGTCATTTTTCATTCTTTCTGTAATATCAAGGAGTTCTACCATAATATATTGATAGGTATGACTATTTAGATTAATTAAGGAAATGTATAATAATAATCATCTAGCCTACTACATATCTATCTATCAAGTATCAAAGCAGTCTCGTTTCATCACCTGTCCCGTGTATTGCTGCTACCCGCAGGTCATTGGTAAAGTAAAAACATCTCAACTGAGCAATAGTTGATTGGTTGGGCAACGCAGAAAACTGAGAGAGGGGGTCGACGATTAGAAATATTTGTTTACATAAATAATACATTAAGTGAAATTAATACTAAACACCAGAAAAATGATATAATTTGATATTAAATAAAACATGGCTTATTTTAAAGCTTTTTCTTATATTTGGTCATATTTTTCGCATCTTTGTAATCAATTTTTGAACATATCCATATTAGTGAAAATATACACAAACACGAATTGTATTGTTATGTATAATAGTCAAATATTGTGACGAGTAGGTATTAATATAGGTATTAAATAGTAGTCAGCAATAAGTCGTTCAGATTAGGCAAAAAGAAAATATTATTAAAAATTTTAATTATACTAAATTGTACGTAATACAAGTAATAATATACAAAAAAATTTACATTTTTTTTCTAAGTTACAAAATAAATAATATTACAGTATATATGATATAATATAGACACCAACCTAATTGTCACCACAAGTACAAATTATAACCAGAAGATATTCAAATGTCATAAAATTTATCCACCTTATCAATTATTCTATAATATTACGATATATATTTTAATTTACATACAATATTAATAAACCAAAAACTACGATATATTATCTTATTTTCAACACATCGTGGTTAAAGAAAAAAAAATAGTTTACAATAAATTATAGAAATTCACCAAGTTATTAATAAATTATAATGAATTTGCAAAATTCAACCAATACCATCCGTTTCCCTATACAAGAAATTACAAACTTTTGTTAAGAAAAATGATAAAGGAAATATATAACTATGAGAAATTTTTCTTATGAGACTGATCAAAATATTTGTTTTGTGAAATATGTTAACGCAAGTCAAGTAAAAAACAGTTTGCAAATATACAAACGAAAATAAAGAAAAAAGATTACCTATGATTAGTTAATTTAATTTTTTTATGATTTTTTTTTTTTAATAAAACATAGTAATAGCTTATTTTAAAAATAATTTAATAAAGTTTTTATCAAGGAGTATCTAATTAATCTGATGTCTTTAGGATTAAAATGTAAAAAAAGGTGTATAATATTATGTTTGAGCAAAATTATTAAGTACACACGGCTCCCTGATAATTTCGAGGTGATTTCACCACCACCCACAGTATTTATCACAGCATTTTGGTATAAAAATATAACCGGACATCAAGTAATTTCCAAGATTACTTGTCCTTGTGTTGCTTGGACCGAGGATTCCGGTCGGTTTGGGTGCCATTATTTCTGGGTACAATACTGACACTGCCGTCGGGTTGCTCCCGCAACGTATGAGTGTACGGAGAGTACGGATTTCCATCAGGATCCCTGAGACTCTAAAAAAATAAATAATTGTAATCAAAATATATGTATATTTTAACAAATGTATCCTTCTATAAATAAGTTATCAAACGTGCAACTTACTCCGAAAATATGGTTATAAAGTAGATCGTATTTTGTTTTCACTCTCATCCGCTCGGTCATTAAGTATTCACGTTCTTGTAACAGATTGAATTTTCGGTCTTTCATTTGTTTCACCTCATCAGCCAAGCTGAGGATTTGGTCCAGCTTGCGTTTCCGGCAATTTTGAGCAGCCACCTAAAAAAATAAACAATTGTATTAATACTATTATCAAAATATGTCTCCAAAACGACATGCGTATAAATAATAAATATATTATAAAATATTAATAATTATATTGCACTACAGACCTTGTTTTTTCCACGACGCCTAATGTCTCTGATCAATGTCAATTGACTTTCGGATAGGTCGTACTTGGACAGCCTCTCGTTGAATTCGTCCATGGGCAGATTGATTATGTCGTCGACGGTGATAGGAATATTCAGATTTCTTGCCCTCTTCTCATCTCTCGTCAGCTGTTCATCCTCACTCCTCTTGCTGCTCTTGAGCTTGTTGCGCTGTATCCTGGGACCTTCGACAGGTAGTGCATACGTATGGTTGAGTGCCACTTGGGTTTCAGGCGTCATCACACGTGAACAGCCTTAATGTACAGAATCGATAGTAAATATTATAATGCAGTATGATAAAACAACGGTATTATATCGTTGACATACAAAAATCAAACCATTAGGTTACATACCATTAGGCATACAGGAATAATTTAATATTTTTTTCTTTTTTATGATCCCCTCTATATTGGCTAAAATAATATAATATAGAATTTCATATTCTGGAGCAGTGGTTTCCAATATTTTTTATTCAAGGGCCTATCAAATATCAAAAGCTCTTATAGTGGGTCAAAAGAGTGACCGGTCAAAATATCTCCGAAAAAATACCTTATTACCACGATATATATTTTTTAATTTTTTAGAAATGTATACATTTATGAATATTTTAAAAAATAAAATAATTTTAAATAATATACTTAAATATATTTTGTTGTATAGTTATGATACAGGTGATAATTAACACGTGCGTGCGATAACGATTCTTGATATTATACATATAATAATCCCGGCCGTCGAGACTCCTGTTCTGGAGCGATGCAATATACTATTACTTGATATTTTTTATTAAGTTTTTTTTGGGGGGTGGGAGGCTAAACTTATTTTAGGCACCACAGAGTTCCTAGTAACGTACAAGCGGATAATATGAAAATTGAAAAAATAAGTATAGGTAATAATAAGTAATGGTACATTCAAATTACGAACCAGCCATGTGTCTGTTAAACTGTGAAGAACCGGGCACTGGAATGCCTTCCCTGGCAGACATATCGTATGGCAGGTTCAATGAATCCGGAACGAGACCGATGTGATTCGACCTAGCCGTTTCGGTTGCGTTCGGGGTCCCTAAAAATGTACAGGTAACAAAGTTAAATCATGAGACCAGAGTTATTTAACCCAGCGTTTCTTAAACTGTGTTCCGTGGAACCCCGGGGTTTCGCGAAATTAGTGGTTTTTATTCAGAATTTTAAATTTTAAATTTCGACACATTATTATAACTTTTATTGCAAATAATCCTTACATAAAATTACGCATTGAAAGTATTCAAACAAAGTAGTGGTTCTAATTATCGATCTGTTATAACTTATTGTTAAAAATTCAATACAAAAAAGCTAAAAAAAAAAAAAAAGTTGGGGTTCCACGGCGAAAGAGCACATAAAAAGGGTTCCACGGATAAAAAAAATTTAAGAAACGCTGATTTAACTAATGCATTTGTACACATTTCAACATTGTCAAATTAATAATTGATATTTTATAATTGTATGTACCTGATACGGGATCTGTAAGGCGTCTCCCGTACAGCTGGTATTTCTTTTGCGGAGCTGCCGAATGACCACGACTCCCGCCGGAATACAGGTAATTGTCCAACCACCTCATTTTTCTGAAGCCAAACAATAATATTATAAATAATAATTCACTAATCAAGTAAAACATCTCGTCTTTTCATATAATAAAATAAAATAAATTAAATTAATAAAATCAAGGTTTGATAACAAATTTATGGCAATATATGTAAACAAAACTAACTATCAAAAATTTAATATTTATAATAATAATATTAAAAATTATAAGTTATCTGTTCATAATAATAATTGTAAACAAATAAGTAATTGTAATTGCATAGAAGTAAAAAAATTAACAAAAATAAAGTACCTAGGTTCGATTTGTGATAATAAACTGAATTATATAAATACCATATTGAACTATCTTAGTAAGGACATTTTTTAATATCTTTAAAATACTTACACTAGTTTTGGTTCAAAAAGTTTTGAAGACAGTATAAACTTCATTAGTAAATTCTATAATTTCGTACAGTATGAGCATATGGGGTGGTATTTTTAAAACCCATCTTACACGATTAACTTTTTAATAAAATACATCTTAAAAAAGCCATATCTCACTGCAACTAGCATACTACATAAACAGTTTAATATTAATTATCTAGAAATTCTACATAGAACTCACTTACTTGTATTATTATATAAATATAAACTCCTTATAAATAAACCAATGCACAATTTTAACACTAGATATTAAAGGAAACAAATAATGTAAATCCCTCTGTATGTAACAAATTATTTGGTATGATGTCGTCTTTAAATATTGGTATTAATTTACACGAAAAAAATAAAAATATTGATTCTTTTCTAACATTAACTAAATTTAAGATGTATATTAGGAATTTAATTCGAATATATACATGTACATTTATAGGTATTTAATTTGAGTTAAAATGTACAAATATACTGCTTTCTTTGACTCATTGTTATTACTGTTGTTATAATTTATCTTATTTTGAAATTGAAGGCCCAACCAACCTAAAAAAAAGTTTACTAAGAGGTTGAGTCAGAAAGTATTTAAAAAAATAATCAATGTAATTAAATATTTCTGAAATAAAGTTATTATTATTGTTATTATATACGGTATGTTATATTATTAAGCATATAATGCATAACACATGGATACACTATATCCATGGACACACTGTGTCTATGTGTTTCGACGAATAGACAAAGAAAAAACTGTTAGACTATAATAAATTACTATCTATAGTACCTACAACATTATGGACTCTAGCAAACTATCAATTTTGCGTTTGGAATACCGCATTTCAGGTAATTTCCTCCAATTATCTGTTATCGCACTAGTTTTATTAATCTTATTTTTGAATTCCTAAACATTCCTAAAATTTAAATTTTATAGTAGCTATATAATTAACAATACTGAATACCTATTTAAGTTAGTTGATTTAAAAACAAAATGTTAAAATATTTATTTTTTAACAAAAGTAATTAAGTACTAAAGGGTTCAGATTATAAATAAAAAAATTAATGCTCAACATCTTATTTCGAGTAATCGCGTAACATTACTACCAATGTATTACACGAGAAATATCTATATTTTAGTTTGTGCTAGTTGCATAGTCAGTTGCACTTTATGTTACACTTTGCATAAATAAATATATATTATGATAAACAATAAACTGACGAAACAACAAATGTATTATTCTTCGTCATTTGTGATAAGATAATCTGATCAAGACTTACCCATATTCTTGGTGAGAGTGCGACGGGTATCCGTCGTTGTGTCCGCTGTCCGAGTTTGTTTCCATCCATTCAGTGTCCGACGACAGTGAAGGCACGCGTTCTGAGCCCATCGAACTGACGGCGCTATCAGAATCGCCGCCGCCCGCGTTACCGTTTTGAATCATGGTCGCGGTGTTTATCGTGTTGTTGTTGCAAGGCACTGAGCTGCTGGCAGTGTCCATCATCCGCACTGGGTACATTCCACCTAATATGGGACGAGAGAGAACGTCCGAAAATTACAAACTGAATTTATTTACTGGGTTTTTGCGTCCTTACCATCCGCGCCCATCGCCGGATCCATGAGCTGCAAATCGTCATCGTTCAATATTGACGACAAAAGTCCTTCCGATGAAGGGGCCATATCGTTATTGTGATTCTAAATGTAAGATAATATAGTACATAGGTAATAACTAATATTAAATATACAACAATTACCGTCTAGGTCCACGATTACTTAACTGTTAAAGTGACATAACCAGATTACCCATATCTATACATATATAATTTATTTTACTACATATCAACGACGTATTTGTTTGGGGGATAGATAAATAGATCCCTTTTATCTTTCAGTGTTAGGTTGTGTCTTACTTTTTAATAATTTATTAGATTTTATATTTTGTTTTCTGAGCACAATGGTAAATTTGTTTTTATGTGTATACCTACATCTAAAAGATAATATTTATAAAACAAAAATAATGTTTCAATATTATAGTTGGTTTTTGCCTTTCTGGTAAAAAAATTAGATTAAGTCTGCACTTTGAGGGGGGGGGGGAGAGGAGAAAGTAAAAGAATATTTCCAAAATATCTAACTATCTAACAAATAAAAAAAGTGATCGAAGGCTTTGACGGTAACACATATACTCAATCCAAATAAAACGCTTTGTGGACGGCTATATATACTATATATGCTAGAGATCATTACCTGATAAGGAAACATCATTTCATGTTGATGGGGTTCCGTCTTGAACGCGGCAGGCTGTTCGGATGAGCTGCCGGGCAAGTGAAGCGAAGTGGCGACGGCCGAGCTCAGATTGCAATTGGTCGACACACCTGAATAACAGAAACAGATGTTGTATATTATATATTTTTGTTAAACAACATTATTGTAACTCTCAAACAAATTAATAAGGAAATATTTAACAATAATAATAAAAATTCAACGATTTCAGTCTGCAATATTAACAATAAATAGACTATGTTGATCGTAGCGATGTGTTTGGCACGCTAGGTACGCGTGGTGCCTTTAGTATAATACTATAGAGGCGATCGTGAGCAAAAAAGGAAAACGTTACGATCCGTTCGCACAAGTTTCTCGTCCATATTTTGTATTGATATAATGATAATTGATAAGCCTAGTGTGATGAAAGATATAACCGATAGTGAAGAGAATGAATGTGGAAAGTATTTACGTCCAAACATATTTGATAGAATGCTACAGAACTTTAAATGGGCGGATATTTAGTTTAATTTAAGAGGAGAGGGTGGTCTTAATTGTTCATACTCCCAACTGCGTTATAAATATTTAATAACGAAGCTATTATTCAATTATAATTATCAAATTTTAAAATGATAACAGGTAATGTATCAATAAAAAATATAACATGTTATAAAAAACATTGTAAGTCTATGTTGTTAGAATATTTTATTCCGTCTATGAAAATTATAAAAAGTCATCAAACACAACTTTAAAGTCAGTAAAAATCTGTAAAAATCATGGTCTGTAAAATCTGTTTATCTGGTTTATTTTTATTTTACATTTTAATATATTTTTATTTTTGTATATTTTTGCAGTTAATTAATCAAAAAGACAACTAGCAAACTAAGTAAGTTAGTAAGTATGTTTCCTTGGGCCTCCACAAGTTTTCTTAGTGTAGCCCAGTAATCTTATTGACTTTAGTTTTTAAAAAAAGCGAATAGTTTCAATAAAAATGAATCTTATTCTATTGCGCCTATTGTAGCTGTATAGTTGTTGTATTTGTTTTTTAGACTTCATTTGGTACAATTTACTTTTATATATAATTACAAAAATACTTTATTAACATTACATTCAAAAGAATAAATAACATAGTAGGCAGGTTCTAAAAAATCAGTCGTACAAACAAGTTTAAAAATGCACTTGTTATTTCTAAATTCCTAAAATAGATAATTATTTCATGACGAAGAAATATGAATATATATTTGACATGATATCATGAAAGTATCAAATGTTGAGTTTAGTGAGTTCTTGCAAACTTAAGGGAGTTTTAGGATAATATATTAATATGTATAAATATATATGTAGACGACTTACCGATCGGTGAAGAGTGGTGGTGATAATGTGATAGGGACGACGACGAGGACGACGTGGTGGCGTGGCCTCCGCCCATGTCAATGGACGTTGACGCTGGCGGAGGTGGCAGCGGCGGAGGCGCGCACAGGCTTACGTTCTGCAAAAGCACGTTTCCCGTGTTGTTGTTGCTGTTGTGATTATTGTGTTGATGATGGAGATGATTATGTTGATGGTGATGAGGATGGTGATACATGCCGGGCCCAGGTGGATAATTAAGTGAGCTGGACGGATGCTGACCATAGTGGGACTGATGGTGATGCTGCCCTTCGACTGGGAACGCCAGCATGGGACTGCACGTAGCCAACTCCTGCCAGCCTCGCTGGTCTATTCCACTGTTTCCCGTTCTTGTGTAGCCCATCCTGCCCTGGAGCGACAAAATTTCGTAATTAGTTATAGCTCATAAATTATAATATAATATATTGTAAATTATAATAATATACAATAAAGAAAAAAATGAAACAAGTGAGATAAGCTCACTCTGCAAAACGTTCTAAAAATTACCGGTTTCTAAATATATTTTAATAAAACGCAATAAAGTATAATTCCATATGATTATATCAAATTTATTTTTAATACTTTTTGGTAAACTTTATATTTTGGTACCTATCTTTCAATATTGGCTACTATACCGATATATGAGATCAATTTGATTAATAATATTTTGATATTTTTTAATACTGGGTAGTACCAATTTACTTTTAAATTTGAATGAAACAGCATGTATAAAATCTTAATACAAGCAATCGTATAACTGTGTAAGTATTGGTAACTAACAGACGGACTGACAGAACGGGGATATAAGGTATTCTAAACTCATGTTTAGAAATCTACAACTAATAGATGGCCAACATGGAAATCGTCATAATTTTTAACTTACACCAAACACAGAGTTCATCCAATTAAAATAAATGATTATACGTTTATTAATTATTATAATATTATATAGGTATACATCATCGTATCGCCATCCGAAATTTTATTTCACCAATATACATCGGGGTGTTCCAAAATGATTAATACGATTTCAATATAGGCTATAAGACTCAAATCCGTGTAGTTTGTGGCGAACGACTATGTATAGACACCACCACCTAAAAAAAGGATGCTCAAGTTTTTTTTTGGCTGCTAGTTCCTACTTTTTCGATTGCGTTGAGGAACCCCTAAGCCAAGTGAGAGCGTTTCGATCAGTTGTAGTCGAATTACCAACAGATCAGCGGAAGACTTTTTTCGACCTTACAGACCGCCATTAATTTGTGGTAGGTACTTAAAAGTCGAATTGTATAAATATACTCAATATAATAATTACTGTAAACATGCTTCAACAGGTGTATGAGGAATTTGAATATTTCTTAGAAAAACAAACAAAGAAGGGTTTAGTGGGGTGGGTCACAATGTATATTTCTAAACATTGTAAAGAAAATGTAATTTTATATTCTAACTTACAATGCTTTAATATCCTAACTTGTAATTACAATTTATTTTGCGTTTTTGTATGTAACAGAAATACAGAATAAAAATTAGGCATTGTTTAAATATGTTACGCGTAGACGGTAAACCCGTTAGGTATATGATACGATATAACTATATTGGGCATTGGCAATAATTAAACTTTCACGTTTTTGTATGATTGATATTAACTTAGGTATAGAACAAAAGAAATCAATAGTCATTACTTATATTATATTATCATATTATCATAAGTAACACACAATATGATGAATTTCTAAATCATCCAAGATTCGAACTCCAAATTATTAAGATAGTAACTATGTATTGTATATAACTGAATAATATTATTCATATTATTGGTACATCAGATAATAATTAGCGAAAACCCCAATACGATAAGTTCATTATATTACAATTTATTATATTATTTCATTAAAGAATACAATAATCTATCTTTGTATCTCGAATATATATGACACAATAACATATTATGTTGTAAGAAAACTGAGTAATGTAATGTTATTCTTTCTACTCGTATTATACGCTTATATTAATGGTATGTTATTATGTCCCTGCAATGCTATCTAAAGTTAACTTTAGGGTACCAACTTTCAGTTTCTGAAACTTTTTTTCGTTTAATATATCGTATTTCTTTTTTCAATCGTATAATTATTTACTAATGGACATATTGTAATAGAGTTATGAAACTGACCTAGACCATCCATCATCTTAGTTTTTTGTATAATTAACAACATGGCTGAACCATTTTTTCGTAAATGTTAAATATATGTCATTCTATGTAATTTTATTAATGTATTCGAACTCTATAATAAACCTATCATGTAATTTAATCTGTCCCATATTAAAATATAAACAAATTAAAATTAAAAATATTATTCTCACCAGGAAATAACTAATTAGTCATTAAAAATACTGTTTGCTTTTATTTATGCACCAGCAGTGCAGATATTCATTATTGTTTTGTGAAACCCTGAATTGGCCAACTATATGAGTACGAAGAAAACAATATGAGCAATAAAAATATTTACTACATTTTGATCGGCTATATTTTTATCGACTTAGAAATCCATTCCTTCCTTATGTGATTAATATAAATTAGTTATCGCACTTGTATGGCTATTAAATGTTTATAGGTACGTGTAAACTACGAACAGATTAAAAATATCACAAACAATATATTATATACCTTATTTTTATTACGTTACAAGTTAATTGTTAAACGGATTTACATTTAGGTACGCTTGGAAATAACTCATGTTTAGACAATTTTCAGACATCCAATATGGAATAAATACAGACATTAATTTCATATTCACTTTAAGTAACTACCTAGGTATAAAAATAAATTAAAACTTATGATATTATAGAAATCGGTATACATCATTGGTAGATATATGAAATTGCGTAGGTATTTTTAATACACAGTTTTTTTATTCTAAATCATTTTATCACATAGTAATTTTTAAAACAATATAACAAAAATATTAATATTGTACACAGTACACATATTAGATATTATATATATTATTATCAAATTATACATCTATAATAATAAGTAATAACAGAATAAACTGGTACCATGCAAAACAATAATAAAAAAAAATTTTCTTGAACACGCTTTCAATAAGAATTTGAAATAAAAAATATCAACACATATGTTGATACTGCAATAAATAAATAAATAAATGATCAACAAATAACAAAAATATTTTACACATAAGTATGATGCATCATTAAAGTGTAGAACTTGGGATTATAATCGCAATCAGGCAGTTTATGTTATTGAGTTAATATAAACAAATATTCACAATGTTAAATTTTCAAATGTGCAAAAATGATAACATTTTCGAATTAATACTTTAAACATGCGTATAATTATATATTTTACACCTCATGTTTCTTGATTTTTTGAAATGTTTTTACAAATGCATTAGAATTTACAAAAAGTGGGCGACAATAGTCTTTATGACATAAAATTCACTAATGCTAAACATTGTTTATTATTTATGAAATAAACATCGCAATCAAACAATATAAATAAACAAACAAAAAATAGTTTTGAATTTGGAATATTATGCGACTTCTATTAGTGTAGCTCTTAATGTAATACGCGTACTAGACTATTTTTTATATTATTTATAATTATTTATAACTCTATATTTTAAACCTATTATCGAGGGCAATTATCCTCATCTAGTTCATAAAGTTGAAACTGATCATTCAAATTCCGATTTGTATCCACCAACATTTTCAAGAACAAAAAACGTAAAAACAATAATGTTCTAATTTAAAAATAATAAATATAAGTTTCTACTGTCACAGACCAAAGGCCACCTATTCCTTACATAATTAAATGGAATACAAAATTCAAGCATTTAAAAATATGACACATTACGTGTATGCATACTATATTACTATAATATGTACTTAAAAATTCCGAAAATCAGAATTTACACGAATTCAAAGGATAATTATATACGGAGACGAGCCAAAACACTTTTAAAGTAGGTACTTGCACGTATGTAGGTACGCGAAACACGACACGCAGCACCAGATAATACATACTATTTCGTCTGGTGTTTTGGGGTTAACTACCTACTGTCCTCTTGACATTTTAACGTTTTCCCAAGCTGCAGCACGTCGTTTAACCGACCCAATACGCACGTACAGATAGTGGTTCGTAATGCCGAATAATATATGTATGTTGTACAATTAATTCGTCTCGAAGGGGTAGTTTCGGAGGATCAGCCACTCGAATAGAAGCGGTCGTCTGCGGTCCTCTATCCGTCACTAAGTAATATTTTCAAAATATTATTATATCTGCGGCTAGCTGCAGGTAGCTGCCATACCCAAAGCCATGGCGCGACAACGGTCATCTATATATGACGTATGGACCTGCCACGGCGGTGGTGGACCGCGACAACAATGACGGTGAAATGCACATATTTCGTTTCCCTCGATTCCGAAACGCTGATTGCGTGATTATATTATTATTATGTGAAGGAGAGAAAAATATAACACAATAACATTGTAACCGCCGTCCAAATTCAAAACGGTAGGTCTATTATGCGGATATTATTATAAGTGCGTGCGTAGTGTATGATGTATATTATTATTATTATTATTATATAAGAGGACGGAGCCTCCGAGTCCGGCGAGGGATGAAACTACATTATATATATGTATATGTACGCGCCTGCACTCGACCCGAAATTCCAAAAATAAAATATAATAATAATAAAAATAAAAATGCTCTTCCAACTATATAGTATATGTTATATTATTATAGTATACACATAATATTTTGTGGTAGGTAGTAGCGAGCGTTTATATAATATAATATAGTACTATATATATATATATATATATATATGCGTAGGTACGTTTCAATACTCGGGATTATTATTATTATTTTATCATTCCGAGGTGAATTTCGTCGTCTCGAGTGGTTATGATAATTATCACGCGAGGAGTCAACACATTTGCCAGAGTGCACATTATATATTATATTATATTGTACAAAAGTCTACCTGCTGGCCGCCGATCGGAGCATGTATATTTGAGTAAATATTTATCTTTGTCCGTCCGACTACGGTCTCTCCACAACTATACACAACAGCTCTTGCTGCTGCTACCATGCGTACGTGTCCTCCGCCTCCGCACGCCGTGTGACTGACGTTTTTTGCCTTTCCCTCCCTCGCCACCCGGACACTGCAGACGCACACGTATACGTACATAATATTATTATTTATTACTCGTCAGAGTGGACGACGACGCGTCAAGTCGTTTGAATAGAATTCTTAAATAATTTCGTGCCCACTTGACGGGAGCGACCATATATGCGCGCACACACTCACACTATAACGTTCGTATATATAATATATTATAACATAT